CGGCCCTACACCCGGCACCGCGCCAGCGGCTGGACTTACTCCCTGGAGCAGACCCTGAAAAGAGGGGGCCAGACAGTTAACAGACCCTCTTTGTCTGCACAAGGGGTGCCCCTCACCTGCCAAGGACCCCCCACACCCCCTTGGAGGCCCGCACCTCCAGCAAGGGGCTGACGCACCGTGCAGGCCACGGATGGGGGCCGAGGAAGCCCCCAGGTCCCAAACCCGCCCCTCCTCTGCCCCGTCCTGGTGGGGCTCCTTGTCCCATGGCGCACCCTCGACCCGCCCCTTGGTGACCGCACCCCTATTCCGATGTTTGGATCCCAGGGCCTCAAGTTACTAACACGCGCACTTCCTCTCGCCTCAGCCAGGTAAATCCGCGCAGCCCGGAGAAACCCCGGAGCAGAGCGAGCCACCCCGTGTCCTGCTCCCCGCTGTCCCCCGGGCACGCGGTCGTTAGGGGAGGCGCCGTCACCCATTCTCCTGAAGAGGCCTGCAGGCCAGCAGAGGGGCGGGGCCGCTCCCGGGAGGTCAGCGGCCGCCCTGGCAGCCCCCGGCTGTGATGGCACAGAAGGCGGGAGGCCCCGGCCGAGGAAGGCAGAAAGGGCACAAAACCTGGCCCCAAATCCCCGCCCCTGAGGAGCACTACTCCACACTCTCGTTAACAACTGTCGGTAACAGACAGACCCTCACACGCTGGGGGGGTGCACATGCTTTAATGAACTCCCACAGGCGCAGCTCAAACAGTGTGTCGGGCCTTGGCCTTGACTATTTCTTGGGAGGAGACCAAGAGCCTCCAGCGACACCTTCTGGTCAGGCTGGGGTGAGGCCTCGAGGCCAGGGGTCTCCCCTGTCTCCCCGGCAACAGCAGGGAGGCGGTGGGTGGAGCTGTTCCTGCAGAGGTGGGGGCAGCAGGAGGCGGGAGGGGGGCAGACCCGGGGGGCTCACGCCCTGGGCTCAAGCCGCCGCCCGAGGAGGCAGCAAGCCGCCCTCCACCTGCAAACCTGCCCGCTGATCAGCCTCCTCCCTCCGTGTCCGCCGCCGCGCCCTCCCCCGTTTCCCTGGCCAGGAGGCCCGGACGGACGGAGACACTCTGGACGCCATGAAGGCTCCGGGCTCTGCAGCAGAGGGTCCCACGCTACTCGGCAGCATCCGGGTCCTCTTGCCGGTGCTCCGAGGTCGGAGTGAGGTCTTCCGTTGGCTGCTGGCGGCCGGAACCGACCTGCAGAGTGAGGGTGAGGGCGCCCGGCCAGGGCGAGTAGGGCAGGCGGTTTCTGTGCCCACCCCAGGCATGCCACCCATCTAGCTTTGGGCCTCAGGGGCGGGCAGCAAGCCTCGGTGGCTTTAGAGCACAAGAAGGGGAGGGGAGAGGGTGCTGGGGGCAGCCTGCGTCTGGGCTGGAATCCCCACTGACTGGGCCTCAGTCTCCCCATCTGTAAGTGGGGTAATGAAAGGGCTTGGAGGGGGGGCTAAGTGGACCAGAAAGTACGTACTGGCCCATCCAGTTACTGGAGCTATTTGGGGGGGACAAGGCAGCTGGGGTGGGAAGGGCGGGGCTGACCGTGAGCAACATCAAGATCCTGTCCACCTTCGGAAGACTCCAGAATCTGCCGTGGGGCAGTGTCCGGGGGATGTCTTGCTGGTCTGGGCGCAGGCCGGGCTCTGCCCCTCTCTCCCTGTCTGCCGGGGCTGCCGGCACCGTCTCCCAGAACGGGTCCTCAACAGACAGTGCCCGAGGCCTCTCAGCTAGCACCCGGAAGCCGTGGGCCGCCGTGACCGTGTGCACATGGAGAAGGGCTAGTCCCTGGTCCGACGGCCGCAGCCCACGCCCCGTGTGCCGAGGCCGGCGTGGGCCCGGGAGCTCAAAGGGTGGGATCTGGGCAGGGGTGAGCGGGAAGCCTCTGGAAGGCATGGCCGCTGGCCAGTAGGGCGGCAGACCGGGGATTTATACCGCGGCCAGGAGGGCGGGAGGATGGGATCCGGTGTCGCCGCCAGGTAGCTGTGCCCTCATTTCGTCTCCCTCCCGGCTCTGCCTTCTCGTCTCCTTGTTCTCTCTCTGTATCTTTCCGTTTCTGGACTTCTTCTCTGGCTCTTCATAGAATATTAGAATTTCAACAGACCATTAAATATTAACTCTCTCCTTGTAAAATATTAAAATGTTAAGAAGAGGCTAACACTGCCCTCTGGGCACCCTCTTCAATTCCAGGTCAGCACAATCCTTCCAGATCTTTCCCTATACATTTACAAGCAGAGGAGCAAGATCTTTTTAAACGATCTCACACGAACGGGGCCAGACCACCCAACTTTGTCTCACTGCATCAGCAAGTCCCCTAGGCCTGTCGCTGTGTAACAAACACACCCAGTCTTGGTGGCATGAAACCACTCTTCCTCATGATCCCATGGGTCGGCTGTGAAATGTGTCCACAGCTGTCACCGGGAAAGCTCAGGGGGCCCACCTCGGCCGGGAGTTCTGAGACCTCACAAGTCTGAGGGCCGCCGGTGCCAGCTGTTGGCTGGCACCCAACAAGCTCCCACAAGGGCTTCTCAGCCTGCGGCAAGTGCCCGGCTTCCTTACGTCACGGCGGCCTTGGGGCAGCGGTCCAGTGGGGGGATGGTGGAAGCCAGAAGGCCCCCTGAGCTCTGGCCTCACTGCCACCACATCCTTATCAGCAAAGCCAGTCCCCAGATTTGGGGGGAGGGTGGCGGAGAAAAAGACTCCCCCCTTGCGAGGAGACCTACAGACCATTTGTGGCTACGTGTCACCTACCCCTGTGTGCAGGGAGCCACCTCTTTGTAAAAAGTTGCTTTATAGTTGGTCAGTAGAACCATTCAATTTTTTTCAATGTTTATTATTTTTGACACAGAGAGAGAGGGAGAGTGGGAGAGAGAGAGAGAGAGAGAGAGAGCGAGCGAGCAGGGGGAGGGGCAGAGAGAGAGGGAGACAGAATCTGAAGCAGCTCTAGGCTCCGAGCTGTCAGCACAGAGCCCAACGCGAGGCTTGAACCCACGAACCGCGAGATCATGATCTCCTGACCAAGCTTAACTGACTGAGCCACCCAGGGGCTCCAGAAATCGGAGTTTTGAGCGCAGATTCCCCAGCGATGGGGCAGCTAGATTATTTCCAGTCTTTTACAAAGGGGGTCAAACGGACTCTCGTGGGCAGATATAGTTAAGTGGAACAGGCCCATTTCATCCCCCTTCCTGGGGAGGGAGTGCTGCCTGAGACCCCAGGGTTGAGCTCTCCTTCTTTGCGGGTCCCAGAGCACAGTGTTCACATCTCCAGATTTGAATGCAAAGCTTTCGCTCTTAACCAGCTCCCCACACAGCTGTGGCCCGGTGCCTGGCCAGAGTCGATATGCCATGCCTTTTCTTGAACTTAAGAGAGAAGGAATAGGGCCTCAGAGAGGTTGGGACACTTACTCTAAGCCACACAGTAAGTGGCATATTTGAACCCTAGATTTATGGCTGCAGAAGGCAGCTTGCTGGGGGGGGGAGGGGATTGGGCAGGCAGCGGTCTGGAGCACAGGGATGTGCAATGGTGGGGCAGGGCGGGACAGGGACCAGCTTTACTTGGTCTGCTGGAGAAGCTAGGGGCTGGAAGGCCAGGCGTCCCTGTACTGGCCCCCTGGCTGCCCCTGGGGCTCTAACAAGTCTAATTGGCCTCCAAGGCCTTGCTGCATCCCATCCCCACCCTTCCTCAGGGCCAAGGACTCTGGACTGACTCAGTAGCGACCCCGAGGTCTCAGTCTCAGCCTTTGTGGCGTGGCCTCAGACTGGGTGGCCTGGGTGTGCGAACCAGCAGATGTTCCAGGGCCTGGGGCCTCGGTCCCTCCATCCTGTGGCCTCCCTGTGTGTGGGGCCCCGGCTGTCACATGGGCACCGGGGAGTCACTCCCCAGCGGCGAGGCCTGGTGGCCTGGACGCTGGCACACTGGGTGTGCTGATTCTAGGTCACAGCCTTCCCAGGGGGCTGCCGCCCGCAGCTAACCCGGCGTCCCCCACCCCCACCCCCCTCTGCCCAGCTGCTGAGGATTTGGCTTTGGGATGAGGCCTCTGATAAGGCAGCTGATAACGGATTCCCAGCAGCAGCAGCAGCAGCGAACACAGCCGGAGCCCAGATCCCCACGATTAGCCAGAAGCGAGCTGGTTTCAGTTTCTCTGGTGGCAACGCCGGACAGGTTGACACGTGCGCCCACCCAGCCCCCGTTTGGAGCCCCGGCCCTGTCTGCTGCCGGCGTCCTGCACGGGCCCCCTGCCAGCGAAGGGGTTACGGGCCCACAGTTCCTGCTCCCAGCCCCTCCCTCCCCTCCACCCCCCACCCTCTTGGGTGACCGTCAGGCAGAGGAAGCCTGTTCCGAGCAGGGACCATCCTGTGGGGGCAGGGTCCTAACAAGTACCAGGAGTTTAGAAACCAAGGATCAGGGAAAACGTGCCGCTTTCTGAGGGGACATGGAGGGGCGCCGAGGACGTGGGTGATGGTGGGCCCCAGGCCCAGCCGAGATGACGTGGTAGCTTTGTTCTTGCGTGGCCGTGGCTGTCGGGAGCAGCAGGACCCAGCATGGCCCAGAAGGCCCTGGTCCTCGGGGATCACGCCGGCGGGCGTAGGGCGGCCCTGGAGGGACAAAGCAGCAGCAGGGACAGGCCGCGGGGCTTTCCCACCGAGCGTGTGTCGCCCACCCTCCTGGGACCCCAGGCTGGCCTGGGGACCCCACATCTGCTCTAGCGCCGCAGGGGCTCCTGCCCCCACGTCCCCCCCCCCCCCCCCCCCGCCTGGACAGCGTGCGCGGCCACGTGTCCCTGTCGCCCCCCCCCCGACAGCGTGCGCGGCCACATGTCCCTGTCCCCCAATCCCCGCCTGGACAGCGTGCGCGGTCAGCTCTGAACCCGCCGGTGCCGGGGAGCACTGTGGCCGGCGCCTGTCAAGCCAGTGGGCCAAACGGAATCCCTGGGTGTCGGTTTTGGCAGAAAGCCGAGGAGGCTGGAAGTAAGGTTCTGGGGCTCCTGGACACTTGAGGTTTGCAGTTTTATTACAAAAACCAAAACAAAACCTATACAAAAAAGAAATCCCACTCCTGTGGCAGCACGCAGGGCGGGAGGGGCAGCTCCGAGTCCTCGGGGGGCCGTGGCCCGGGCCCTCGAGCCTGCTAGGCGTCCTGCTGCTGGATGAAGGGGTTGGGGATGGCCTCCATGCCGTCCTGCGGGCAGATGAGCACCACGGAGGTGCCCCTGCACACCACCAGGCCCAGCTGCCGGGTGTCCTCCGTGAGCTTGTACTGGTCGTCGGGGTCTGCGGGCAAGAGGGAGGGGCGGGAGTGAGGCGGGGGGAGGGAGGGCCGCATGCCGGGTGGGCGGCTCTGAGGACCCAAATCCAAGGGAACCTGGCGGCCTGGGCGCAGACCAGGTGCCTCACCCCTACTCGCCAAGCCCGGACCCGCAGCCCTTGTCGCTGGTGACCCCCGGACCACGAGGGCCACGAAGAGCTCTGGCAACGGTGCTCCACACCCGCCCTCCTTCTGCAACGACGACAGGGCCCCGGGGACGCTGTCATGAAGCTAACTGGGGGCCCTGGCGTCCAAGCCAGCAGCAGCTGGAACAAAGCTCGGCCTGGGACTCCCGGAAGCCGTGTGGGGGCACCATCTGCCCCGTGTCAACGGTGGGATGAGAGGGACCCCAAGGAATCGGCAGCAACTGAAAACCTTTATTGCTTTTGCGCGATGCCGGGGAGGGGCCAGCGGCCCAGTGCGCCAGAACCCAGGTCTAGGGAGCAGCTCTTCCCGCCAGATCCCGCAGGGGGACCAGTGTTCTGGGCTGAGAGAAGAGGGCACACACCCCTGCCGGGTGGGGCCGGCCCCGCGAGGAGCAGGCTCCGGGCAGAGAAGCAGCGCGCACCGGGCGTCTGGCCTGCTTCTGGGTGCGAGGTTTCCCAGTGGACGCGCGCGGTGGGGCTGCCCCCACTAAGGAAGAGAATCATCAGGCTGAGGCGGGCCTGCAGCCCGGACGGACCTGGCGGGAGGATGGAAAACGAGGGCAAAGCAACAGGCCTGGTGGTGGCCATTGTGCCGAGGCCACACTTCCCCACAGAGGGGGCCCTGGGGGCCTGCTAATTTCTCACCAGGGTGACAGTGCCGGGGGGGGGGCAGGACCTGCCTCCCTCCTAGGTCTGGGTCTGGGGGGTCCCCTTACGGCCTCAGGCAGGCTGAGCTGGGGGACTAGCCGGCTGATGGGCAGGTGCTGGCCTGCCGGGGATCTGGGGACCTCGGTGACAGGGACCAGGGAATCAGGTTAGCAGCAGAGTCCACTCGAGGACACAGCAGACAGGGGGAGCAGCTACCTGGGTGACAAGGACCGTGTCCTTCACTCAGGGGCAGGTGGGCGGGCTTGGAGCAGCGATAAGGGCCCAGTGAGGAGCTGCTGAGGCCCGAGGCCGTGCTCACCTCTCATGTATTCGACGGTGCCGTCAAGTACGAGGTTGAGGAGCGGGTCGAACCCTTTCAGGATGCCGCTGGCTTGTAGGAATCACCCGAGAAGAGAAATGAAAAAGCGTAAGACAAATGGTCGTTCCGGGGACAGGCACATGGCGCCTGGGACGCGGAGACCAGGGCTCACCCCCAGCAAGGGACAGATGTGGGAGCAGCCTCTCTGGGGCGGGAGGGATGGAGGACCAAAGGGAGAATGAGGGGGGGTTCCAGAGGAGAGCAGTGAGGGTGACCCCAAACTCCCCCCTGCCCCCGAATATGGTCGGTAAATGTCTTCTGCAAAGGCCTGGCTGGCGCACATTTCAACCACGTGGGCCACGTGTGGCAGGACTCCTCTCTGTCCTCCTGGGGCGAAAGCAGCCAGACCATGTGTAGACGCTCAGGTGTGGCTGTGCCACAGTGAGACTTCACTTAGGGACGCGGAAATGTGAATTTCAGGTAATTCACGAGCCACACAGAACTTGGCAGAGTGGACTGTTCAGCCACAGGAGGGAGCAGAGCACGGACTCACGGTGCGGCGTGACGTGCCCCGAGAGCCCCCTGTCCCTCCCGCCTCACTCCTCCCCCTCCCAGGCTCGGCTGGCAGAAGCAGGTGTCCCACTGCATCACCACAGTGCGCAGCTGTCCGGTCCGCAGAGAAGGGGCTTGGGTGTGACCCGCAGCCCCATGTGGCACAGGGCAGGGGTCTGCAAACTGTGGCCCGCGGGCCAAACCCAGCCTGCTGCACTTCATGCACGGCTTCACTGGCACCCAGCCACATTCGCTTGGCCACGTACTGTCTGTCTGTGGCTGCTTTCATGCTGCAGAAGCAGCGCTGAGCAGCTGTGACCGGGGTCGTCCTGCCTGCAAAGCTTAAAGTATTTCCTGTTGGCCCTTTACAGAAAATGTCTGCCAGCCTCGGACTTCCTGGGCTTGAGCCCCTGGCTCTGTGGCTTCCTCTCCCTGCCCATCCCTGCCCTGCAAAACAGATCACGAGGACACCTCCCCAACGGGGTCACGAACAGCATGGACGGCAATAGCGTACAGGCACGTGGCCCAGAGCCAGGGGCCCGTCCCTGCGGGTCTGCCCTCCTAGATGCGGCGCAAGCAGGGTTCTAAAATGGAGCCAATACCCCCTCCCTGGTGACCATCGTGTGCAGCCCCACCCCCAAGAGTGGGGAGGGCTGTGAGTACTGGTGGGGCGTCACTCTCATGATTAGGTTATTCGATGAGGAAGAAGGGCTCTGCGGATGTGATGAGGGTCCCCAAGTTGGTGGACCTTCCGTTCACCTAAAGAGACGTTATGCTGGGTTGGCCTGACCTGACTGGATGAGCTGTGGAAGGAATGAGAATCTTCTGGAAGAAAATGCGGGAAGCGTGGGAGGTTTCCCTGCTGGCCTGCAAAGAGCCAACTGCCTGGGGTGGACGGAGTCCCGGGGCAAGGGCGGCGGGCAGCCTCTGAGCAGGGCCCTGGACACCTGCAGCAGAACATGGGGACCCCAGTCCTGCAGCCACGAGGAACCAAATTCGCCCAACAAGCACCAGCACTGGAGGAAGGCCCGGGGCCGGAGCTAAGAGGCTCTAAGACACTCCTTTACTACAGCCTGAGAGACCTTGGGCCCAGGGCACCCAGACTCCTGATGGACGCCATAGGTGATAAATTCGTGTTGTTGAAGCTGCTAAACTTGTGGCAGTTTGCTAGAGAGGATAGCAAACCAGCACAGACACCCCGAAAACAAGAGCTGCGCCTCATTCAAATGCCTGGGAGCCAGCCTGGTGCAGACAGAGCAGACATTTGTTCACGTTCAAATTCTCCTGCTGCTGCCTTGCACGCACCATGGTTAAACCACGATGATGCCACCCGGTCATCCACGAGGAGGCATCTAGATTGTGTCCTGTGAAATAAACTGAAAACCGGAGAGGCAGCGGAGCGGATGAAAGGTGCTCCAGTGCTCACTGGTGTCAGGACTGCCTCCAGGTGAGGCAGGTGGACGGACAGCCTTGTGTGACAAATGAATTCACTGGGGCTTGGACCCAAGCTGTCTGGCACTAGGACCCAGAGGCTGGGCTCTAGGGCAGCCGGGGCACCTAGGCCACTCTGCCTACACCTGCCTCGCTCCTGCCCTCTCCGCGCTAGGTTCAGGGGGAAGATGCAGGGATACCCAGTGTGTTTACGGGCACAACACGGGGAGCTGTGACGGCTGACACCCCAGGCGCATGGCCTGGGGCGGAGCGTCAGGGAAGGCTCCCCTGAGCAAGAACCTGGAGCTGAGAGCAGGAAAAGGACTGAGGTTAACCCAAAACGGAGTCACGGGTGCCGAGCCCGCATCCCCAGACGGAGACAGCCTCAGCTCTCCCAGGAATGTAATCTCAACCAGTCAGCCTGCAATTTCCTGGCCAGAGCCAAGTGAGGCCATCTTCCTGATGCCCCCCCCCCCAAGGAAAGTGAGCCCCCCCGAAACAATCCACGCTTTGTCTGTTCCTGCATCCTCCTGCCTATAAAAGCCTCCCGGTTTGTACAGCCTCTCCGCTCCCTTCTGTCTGCTAGACGGTGGGTCGCTGCCTGACTCGTGAATTGTTGAAGAAAGCCAAGGGATGTTTAAAACTCACTCAGTGGAGGTTTGCACTTTGACAGGGGCAACAAGTTGGCCTGGTAAGAGCACTCCAGGCAGAAAGGAACCGTATATCTCACGTGCCTGTGGTAGCGGAGTGCTCCGCGGGCCCCTCAGGGGCACAAAAGGCTGTCCTTTACCCTAAGGCAGTGCGGAGCCTGGAAGAACTGAGGAGCAAATAAGGAGATTCAGCCCGTTTTTAACAGGTCCCTGGGGTCCATACTTTGAAACTGACCGTAGGGGCAGTGGTTTCAACCCGGGAGAGCTCTGGCTTGGTTGTCAGAACGAAGGGATGCTTCTGGCACCTGGTGGTATCTGGGGGTGCTGGTTAACACTCCAGGGCGTCCAGAGCAGCCCTCACAACAGAGGGCCATGTGGCCCCAATGTCCCCGGTGCGGCGCCTGAGGAACCCTGGTGTAGGGGGATCAGCGAGCATCTGCGGCCGCTTCCCGGGAGGACTCGGAGAGCGAGCACCGCACAGGAGGCGAGTCGGGAATCCCAGTCCCGGCTGCAACTCTGTGGCTCCGGGTGGTTCGGACCCGTTCCCGCGCCTCTCGTTCCCACGTTAGAAGGCTGGTACGAGTTATCCGAGCAAAGCGCTCAAGGCGGTGCCCAGGCATCGGCCGCCACTCTGGCCTCGGCAGTCACTCACCCTAAACCGTTTAGGGCGTGGGGGCGGCGGGCTCTCACCTTCGCGGCCTCCCTGAAACTTCACCCGGATCGTCTTGTCGATGTACTTAGATAAGTCCAAGATGCTCTCTTTTTTCTTCTTCTCTTTGTCCTGCAGGGGAAGCAGAGCGCGTGAGGCGTACAGCGCCGACGGGTCCCGCGCCGCCCGCCCAGCCTGCCCCGCCGCGCGCTCACCGCCATCTTGCCGCACCGCGCCGCTCGGCGCAGGCGCTGCGCCGCGCCCTTTGACCCTGTCCTGGCGCGCAGGCGCGGAGCACTCACGGCGCAGGCGCGCCCAGGCGCGACGGGGCGTTGCTGGGAAACATCTGCCGACGCCTGCGGCTGGGACCGGCCGACATGGCGGCGGCGGCGGCGGCGCTGGCGCGGCTCGCGGCGGCCTTCCTCCTCCTCGCGGCCCAGGTGAGGCTGCGTCGGCCCCGCAGGCCCCAGCGGCTGCGGCCCCCGGGCCCTCTGCTCCGGCCCCGCGCAAGCCCCGGCCGGCCTGGCCCGGGGGTCCGCCTCGGGTTTGCGCGCCCCCCGCGCGGGAGGCCCGCGGGCCCGGAGCCCGGCCGTGACCTTGCGGCCTGTCCCGGGCCAGTCTCTCTTCCTTGCCTTGGAGCCCTCCCCAGCTGCAGCGTCACTCAGCTGTGCCTGGGTCTGAAGTTTGGGAATTCCCCTACCTCCGCAGCCCCTGCTCTGCCTCGAGGTCTCCAACCGCCGCCGGGGGCGCTGCTGCCTGGCCCCTTGGCCTTGCGCAGGAGTGTCCCTCCCCGAGCCTCAGTTTCCCCTTGCGCGCGTTGTTAGCGCCCACCCCGGTGGTTGCGGTAGCCGTCCAGCGCGGCACCCAGTGCCTGACAGTATCCGGGAGCGGCCAGGAACCCATCCCGGGAGTGGGGTCGAATCGCCGCCCTGCATTTTGTCCCGTGACCTTGGGCAAGGGAGGTCCCCTCTTTAGGCGTCAGTTGCTCTTCTGCAGAAGGAAGAGAGGAGTACAGCGAGGACTGAGCGAGATGATGCATGGGGTGATTTCTGTGCCGTGTGCATCTTCTGGGGGCACTTAAGTGAAAGGTCTCCCTGGGTGGTCGGATACGTGCCGCGAGATGGCTGATGCACATCATCATAAGTGCCTTTTTTATTTTCAAGTCCTCTGACCCCCTGGGTTATGCAGCTCCGGGAATGGTGTCCCTACAGCCCTGCGCCTGCAGCCATTAACCCTGGTCTGTCCACTCCAGCCTGCCACCCTTCCAGCGGAGCTTCTGGTGGGCAGTGTTCTCCCTGTGGTCACATCTGTCTCCTGCATTCCCCAATCCATTCACTACGCAGCAGGCTTGACCTCTTTGAAAGTGTGTGTCTTGTTGCATCCGGAGGAGAGGCTTCCCACGGCTGCCGGCGCGTTTGGGAGGCCTCTGTGGTTTGGCCGCTTGGGAAGATGCTTCCCCTCCTTTTCTATTTGTGGAGCGCACTCAGCTCTGGGCTCCCCCTTTTCCCTGGAATGCCCCTGGTCTCCTTGTGGGCTCCACTTGCTTGTTCTTCCCTCCTCCCCGGAGAAGCTCTCCGGGATGTCTCTTCCCCAGCCCCCCTCCGGATGTTTAAGCAAGTTGAGGACAGGGACTTTGAGCTCCGCAGACATTTTGAAGGAGAGCAAAGTGAGAAGTGGACAGATGGTAATGGGGGCACCGCGGAGGGAGTGACCCAGTTTGCTTGGGGAGGCTTTTCAGAAGCAGAGGCACCTAAAGGGTGTTCTGAAGGGTGAGTGAGAGTTTGCCAGGTCTGTCTGTCTCTCTCTCTGTCTCTCTCTGTCTGTCTCTCTCTGTCTGTCTCTCTCTCTCACGCACACACACACACACACACACACACACACAAAAGGAAAAATACTCCATGCTCATGGACTAGAAGAATGAATGTTAGTAAAATATTGATACTACCCAAAGCAATCTATACATTCAGTGCAATCCCTATCAAAATAACACCAGCATTTTTCACGGAGTTAGAACAAACAATCCTAAAATTTGTGTGGAACAAGAAAAGACCCTAAATAGCCAAAGCAATCCTAAAATAGAAAACCAAAGCTGGAGGCATTGCAGTTTTGGACTTCAAGCTGTGTTACAAAGCTGTGATCACCCAGACAGTATGGTCCTGGCACAAGAACAGACCCGTGATCAATGGAACAGAACAAAGAACCCAGAAATGGACCCGCAAACGTATGTACAACTCATCTCTGACAAAGCAGGAAAGTATCCAGAGCAATAAACATAATCTCTTCAGCAAATGGTACTGGGAAAACTGGACAGCAACATGCAAAAGAATGAACTTGGAACACTTTCTCACGCCACACCCAAAAACTCAAAATAGATGAAAGATCTAAATGTAAGATAGGAAGTCATCAAAATCCTAGAGGAAAACGCAGGCAAAAACCTCATTGATCTTAGCTGCAGCAACTTCTTACTCAACACGTCTCCAGAAGCAAGCGGAAACAAAAGCAAAAGTGAACTGTTGGGACTTCATCAAGATACAAAGATTTTACACAGCGAAGGAAACAATCAGCAAAAGTAAAAGGCAGCTAACAGAACAGGAGAAGATATTTGCAAATGATAAAGGGTTAGTATCCAAAATCTATAAAGAACTTATCAAACTATACACCCAAAAAACAAATACTCCAGTGAAGAAATGGGGAAATGACATGAATAGACATTTCTAAAGAAGACATCCAGATGGCCAATAGACACATTAAAAGATGCTCAACATCACTCATCAGGGAAATACAAATCAAAACTGGTGTGAGACACCACCTCACACCAGTCAGAATGACTAGCATTAACAACTCAGGCAATGACAGATGTTGGTGAGGATGCAGAGAAAGAGGAACCCTTTTGCATGGCTGATGGGAATGCAAACTGTTGCAGCCACTCTGGAAAACAGTATGGAGGTTCCTCAAAAAATTAAAACTAGAACTACCCAGCGACCCAGCAATTGCGCTACTATGTATTTATCCAAAGGATACAGGTGTGCTGTTTCGAAGGGACACATACACCCCAATGTTTATGGCAGCACTATTGACAACAGCCACAGTATGGAAAGAGCCCAAATGTCTGTCGAGGGATGAATGGGTAAAGAAGATGTGGTGTATGTATACAATGGAGTATTACTTGGCAATCAGAAAGGATGAAATCTTGCCATATGCAACAACATGGATAGAACTAGACGGTATTATGTTAAGCGAAATTAGAGAAAGACAAATATCATGTAACTTCACTCATGTGGAATTTAAGATACAAAACAGATGGACAGGAGGGAAGGGAAGCAAAAATAATATAAAAACAGGGAGGGGGACAAAACCCAAGAGAGTCTTTTTTTTTTTAATATTTATTTTTGAGAGAGAGACATAGAGTGTAAGTGGGAGAGGGGCAGAGAGGGAGAGACAGAATCTGAAGCCGACTTCAGGCTCAGCTGTCTGCTCAGAGCCTGACGTGGGGCTCAAACTGAAGAACCACAAGATCATGACCCGAGCCGAAGTCAGACACCCAACTGACTGAGCCACTCAGGTGCCCCAAGAGACTCTTACATACCAGGAACAAGCTGAGGGTTGCTGGAGGGGTTGTGGGTGGGGGGACGGGCTAAATGGGCAAAGGCTTTAAGGAAGACACTTATTGGGATGAGCAGTTAATGTTATATGGAGGGGATGAATCACTGCATTCTACTGAAATCATTATTGCACTATATGCTAACTAACTTGGATGCAAATTAAGAAAAACTAAATATATTATTAAGAAGTATGGGGAAAATAATAGCTGAAGCAAATGTGACAAAATATTAGTGAGTTGAGTGGTGCCTAAGTGGCTCAGTTGGTTAAGCATCTGACTTGGGCTCAGGTCATGATCTCGCGGTTCGGGAGTTCGAGCCCCGCATTGGGCTCTGTGCTGACAGCTCAGAGCCTGGAGCTGCTTCGTATTCTGTGTCTCCCTCTCTCTGCCCCTCCCCTGCTCACACACTCTCTCTCTTTTTCAAAAATAAATAAACATAAAAATTTTTTAAAAATAGTTGAGCTGAGTACGTATTTCATACTATTATAATATGGTTATTTTATATTTTTTAATAAAAAGAAAAATTGTAGTAAGTAAATAAGAAGAAATTAAATAAATAACTTTACATTAAAAAAAGAGTTTGCCAGGTCTCAAGGCAGAGGGAAGGAGTTGCTGGTGATGGGTGGAGCTTGAACAGGGGTGGAGGTGTGAGAGCTGATGATTTATTTTGAGGTGAGGCGTCCACTGTGGCTGCTCTACAGGCTGATATAATGTCACCCCTGAGAAAGCTGACACCCCGAAGGGTTCAGATGCACTTGAAGGAGGCTCGGATTCCCTCTTGCGCGGCTGGGCAGGGGAGGGGCGGCAGCGGGCATGGCTGGGGGCCGAGGGCAGCCTCTCCGGGCGGGGCGGTGGGCAGGGCTGATCCGAGCCCCGCCCGGAGCTGGGGCGTTGGGACTTTCTCCCGGGCAGGAACTTTGTCCTGTGTGGGAGCCGAGGGAAGCCTTGGTCTGTAGTCTGTTTGCCCTGAGTCAGGGAAGATGGCCTTGTGGCGTGTGGTGTGCTTCTCTGGAGAAGTTTGGGTCCTGCCGTCTGAAAATAAGACTAGCTTTCCACCGGGTAGGAGGCCGCTTGCCAACCGCCCCAAATTCATTTGCTCCCATCTTGTGGCCCTGGGTGAGGGATTCCCCACCTATACACCTCTCCCCCCGTTGCTACACGATGTTGCCGTAAAGGCCAGTAACAGACCTGAAGTAAAGCTGGTGCCCTCCCTCCCCGTCTCCCCTCCTCTACTGGCCCCAACCCCCTCCACCTGCCCCCTCTGCTTCCCCTCCACCTGTCTTCACTCTTCAAATTGTTCCTGTCCCTCCTCCGCCTGTCCCCACCCCCCCCGCCTGTCCCCACCCCCTCCGCCTGTCCCCATCCCTCCGCCTGTCCCCACCCACCTGTCCCCACCCCCTCCGCCTGTCCCCACCCACCTGTCCCCATCACCTCCGCCTGTCCCCACCCACCCGCCTGTCCCCATCACCTCCTCCTGTCCCCACCCACCCGCCTGTCCCCTGCCCCTCCACCCCTCCCCTCTGCTCCTATTCCACCTATTCCCCCCCAACACCTCTCCCAGCACTTACCCCATGGACCCCATGGTCCCCCTGAGGCTGGTTTCCCACGCCATTTCTGAACCCAGTTGGCGGTTGTGACATGTCAGAAGGTGGCCTGTCCGCTCTCCCAGACTGGGACTGGCCATGCTAGACCCAGGGCCACTTGTACCATTGGGTCCTTTTGGAGAACATCTTCTGGTTCCTTTAACTCCATGGGGAGGGGACCGCGCTCTGTCGTCTGGCGGAAGCACAGGTGGATTTACCAGGAGGCTGCTTGGTCGGGCGTGGGGAAGGCGGTCCGTGCTCTCCCGTTGCGCCTCTACACACGTGACGCTTTTCCCCAACAACTGGGCCCCCCAGAACAGGGGGCAGCAAACACGCCCCACAAAGGCCCAGACGGTGAGTATGTCTGACTCTGTGGGCCCCGCGGCCTGCGTTGCAAGCGCCCGGCTCTGCGGTGGTCACGGAGAGCCGCCGGGGCCCTGCGCGCAGGAGGGGGCTGCTGTGCCCCCGCGCAATGGGTTGAGGAGCACAGAAGGGGGGCGCAGGAGGCCCGTGGGCGTGGCCCACGGTGAGGAGGCGCTGTGGGGCCCACTGGAAGGGGCAGACAGCCAGGCACAGGACGTAGGGCCAGGCTGAGGGACGCGCTTGGAGGGCAGTCTGGTGGGGAGAATCTGGAGGAGGAGGAAATCAGGAATGAGGAAGTTCTGCCTCTGGTGGAGGGACTGAGGTGCGCGTGCAGAGGTTGGCCGGGGCAGGTCGGGGAGCGACACGGCTTTATTGAGATGCTAGGAGACCCCTGATCGGCCTCGGGTAGCCCCCTGCCCTGTTGCCATAGCCCGGGTTCTTAGAGCGGTGCGCTGTGTAAGCATGGCTTTGTGGAGCACACCCAGCCGTCTGAGTGGCCTCGGGTGCCTGGCTCAAGGTGACAGACGGAAACGTCAGAACGGGAGTGCCAGCTGGAAGAGAGGTGGTCGGGGCCCTGGAGAATCACAGGACGGGCACCCAGTGCCTCCCGTTAGCCTCCAGATTGGGGGTTTGGGATGCCAGGGGTCCATCTACGCTGCCACCACCAAAAGTGACCAGGGCCCAGGTGAGAAGCTCCTGGAGCAGTTGAGGCCTTGCTGTGTTCCTGCGGAGGGTCTGGCCGGATGAGAGCTGTCAGTGCGCCAGGCCTGGTGCTGGGGGCCATGGCCCATCAGGACCCTCAGCCAGGCCACCCCCCCACACACACTCTGCCCGACAGCGAGGTGCGTGTCTGGCGGTGCCGGCTGGATCCCGTCACACGTCTGTGGTCAGACAAGCAGCTGCACCTGCTTGCGTCCCTGGCAGAGTCTTAGGGTACTAAGGAGTGAGTTTCCATCTCGGCCTGGAGGTGTCTGCGGCCCAAGGGGAGCACAAGCTAGAGAAGTGTGGGTCCCAGGAGCCCCAGGTGCGTGGAGCAGGATTCAGGGGTCAGGCGGGTGCAGGGTCCCCGGGTGTGGCGTCTGGACTCACCCCTCGGCTCCTCGCACAGGGCATCTCTCCTGAGCCCCCCTCCCCTCTCAGCCGGCCCTGGGGGGCTACTCAGACTTGGGGCGAGCCTAGCGGGAGTAGAGCAGCCAAGACCTGGGCCCCACATGCTGTGTGGCCCGCTGGTGATGAAGTCCTCTCGAGGGACAGAGGTGGTGCTTGTGGGGGACCATGCACCCCAGCCCCAGCTTACTGTAGGCGAGCAGGCTGGAGAGGCCTTGCAGTCAAGTCTCCCAGAGAGCCAGGCAGCGGCTCCAGGGAGGGGTGGAGACAAGGATGCACGGGACGTGGGGACACCTTTGTGTGAAATAACTGTCACGTACACTAAGCTGGTGTTCAGCAGAAGAGAGGGCTGTCAGCCCCTTCTGTCCCTGGACCCCAGCCACCCCACTGCCTTCGAGGGGCGTCCAGTGCTCCAAGGACTCAGATCTGTCCCTGCGTCTTGCTGTGAGTTCAGACGAAGCTGGTTGGGTCCTCGTGACGACCCTTCGTGTGCAGCCTGCGGCCCCCTGCCTCTGGGGAAGCCGGGGCTGCGTGGGCTCGGGGTCAGGTGTGTGGGGAGGCGGGCTCTGCGGGCATGGGCTCTGGCAGGGACAGCTGTGTGTGCCCTGATGGTGGTGTCAGCACGAGCCTCCTCTGTTGCAAAGTCTGGCAGTTCCCAGAGCAAGGGGTTCAGTCCTGCGTGGGACCCCACCGCTGTGCCCTGCGTCACTGGGTCTGACGCTCCCCCCAGAGAGTGAGGAGCTGGCACCAGGGGCCTGGACCCAGCTGGCCTCGCTGGTCAGTGGCCAATGGGCACGTGTTCCAGGGACCTGGTCTCCAGGGCCAGTGGGGGTCCCCGAACCTGCTGGGGTGCAGGAAAGCTCCTCCAGGCCTCCTGCTCGCCCGGGGCCTGGGGCCGGACCTGCTGGCTCACCGTGTCCCCCTCGTGACAGAGCCGTGGGCTTTCACTCTCCCCCTCCCATCGATCCTGGGAGGGCCCCGTGACGTGGTGCCGTCCCTGCCATGAGAGCCACGGCCACGGTCAGCACCCAGGCCTCCCCAGAGAAGCCTGTCCCTGCCTCGTTTCTCTGCCATAAGATGTGGATGGTGCTGTCCCATCTGCCTGTCGGAGGGAGGAAACCAGCCCAAACCCTGAGCTGGGGGTGCAGGGGCGGGTCGTCCTCATCAAGCCCCGGTGCTGAGCTGACTGCCGCCTGTCGCCCCAGGTGGCCTGCGAGTACGGCATGGTGCACGTGGTCTCTGAGACAGGGGGCCCCAAGGGCAAGGACTACTGCATCCTCTACAACCCGCAGTGGGCCCACCTGCCACATGACCTTGCCAAAGCGGTGAGTACCCACTCGGGCCCTCCCCCGTGGGGTCCTGCAGGCCTGGGGTGCTCTGGGGCGCCCCCTCCTGCCCTGGGGTCTGGTCTCTTTTGCTGGCTGCCACCCTCCGCTCCCCAGCCAGGGTCTGGAGGGACCCGCTAGAAGTCTCCTGTTGCAGGGAGCCAGCGGGAGGAGAGGAAGTCCCGTCACACTTGAGGGGCTGCTGGGCTCTTGGATGTCGCTAGAGGGGCCCGTAACCTGTCTGGGCCTCAGTTTGCTTGGTCGGAAACCAGATGTCCAGGTGGTGTTGAGGCACAGTCCCCGCCGGGGCACCGGCCAACCCCCACGTGCTGGATGGGGTTGGGGGTGATTCTCACTGTAGACGCCACTGCTCCCCGCCGCGTTCTGTTTGCAGGGATTGAGGGAGGGTTTCTGAGGGGTTTCCTCTGAGCACACACCACCTCGTCCCTCCTGCTGGCCTGGCGCTCGGGGGTGTGGACGTGTGTGCACGTACGGGCACGTGCATAGCCACGCATGAGTGTGTGTGCGTGTGGCCCCTGCTGACTTTTCGAGACCAGGTGGTGTAAACGCCACATTCCCCAGTCCCTCCTGCAGCTGCGGGACTGGACGGCCTCCATGCTCTGCTCTCCGCCGGACCTCCCGGCCAAAGGCTTCAGCAACCAGATTCCGCTGGTGGCGCGGGGAAACTGCACCTTCTACGAGAAAGTGCGGCTGGCCCAGGGCGGCGGGGCGCGCGGGCTGCTCATCGTCAGCAAGGAGACGCTGGTATGGCCCCGGGGGCCTGAGAGACCGGGAATTTGCTTTGCTGACCATGGCTGTGGACCTGTGTGTCTTGGAGGGGGACCTGTCCCAGAGCAGTCCCGGGGGCTCTGGGGAGACTGGATCCCCTTCTACAGGCCTTGGGGCAGGGCTCGGGGGTGCCTTCTGAGGAGCAGGGGGCATGGGCCTGTGTCCCACGTGCCTGCTCCTCCCCCAGGCAGGACCCCCAGGGTGGATTGGCACCTGAGCGACCTGACCCCAAGGCTTGAACGTGGAAGGAGAGCTTTTCCTCCCCCCACGGGGAGAGACAGACATACAGACACACACCCACACCCACCCCGGCCTCCACTCCCTCCGCACGGGCCGGCTCTTCGGGCCCTCTCACTGTGGGTGGACTTTGGGAAGCCAAGGGCCCCCCTCCCGCACACCCCCTTCTTGGCCCCCAGGTCCCTCCAGGAGGCAACAAGACACAGTATGACGAGATCGGCATTCCCGTGGCCCTGCTCAGCTACAAAGACATGCTGGACATTTTCAAGGTAGGGTTCAAGCTGCCTCCCGTCTGCAGCTGTTACCTGGCTGTGAGTACCTGGTGGGTGGGGACCCATGAGTGAGGCCACCCAGCTGGGGCTGGCGGTGCCACTGACCTGCGGGAACGGGGTCGCTGGACCCAGGGGTCAAAGCGCCCAGGCTCTGGGACCCCTGTGCCATGTGGCAGCTGGACGCTGGCTCCAGGCCAGGCCGGAGACCCTGAGCGCGCTCTCCCTGCCCACACGCGGCCCCTTCTGACCAGAGGCCTGTGTGTACCCACCTGCGGGGGGGTTGGTTCCCGACAGGCGCGCTTCCAGATGCAAGTAAAATGGGAACGTTCAGTCTTTGTGGAAGCTTCTAGCAATTTGCAAGATATGTCTTGATCCTGACTGTAGCCTCACAGCTCCCCCCAGGGGAACCACTGTTGGCCTCCTAGATGCTTCCCGGGGTGAAGGTCCAGCCCTCTGCGTGCACACACACACACACCCACCTAGGTTCAGGATTCTTGTCCCCGCACTCGCGTGGCCCCTTACCTGATGTTGTGTGATGCTTGTTCCCCAGAGTTGATTTTTCTGGGGTGGGAGTGGCAGGTGAAGGCGCGGGGCCCCCAGGACAGGCTCTCCCTGGCCCTGGCTCCACGTGTGGGCCGGTCTGGGCTCCCCGGGCAGACGAGGGGACAGGGGACGGCAGCTCCAGCCTTGAGCTCCGTGCATCCTCTGAGGCAGAGTTTCGGCCGATCGGTGAGGGCAGCGCTGTACGCCCCCAACGAGCCCATGCTGGACTACAACATGGTCATCATCTTCATCATGGCTGTCGGCACCGTCGCCCTGGGGGGCTACTGGGCTGGGAGCCGGGACGTGAAGAAGTGAGTGCCTGGCGCACGCGGGAGACCTCTTCCCGGCAGCCTAGGGATGCCCGAGACGTGGTCGGCGCCGGGTCATCGAACCGCTTTCCATCAAAAGCAGCGGTCACAGCTTGGCTCTCGGGGGTGCAGGCCCCCCTGCGGCCCCTCCCTGCATGGTCTTTCCAGCTCCCTGGGGTGCGGTCTGGCTTTCTCGTTGAAGGGACGTCAGGGATGCGCGATGGGTGTGGAGAGGGTGCCCCTCAGCCCCGAGGACCCCTGGGCCCTGCCCGTCCCTCCCCGTCCCTGTGCGGCCAGCAGGGCGCCCCTGACCCGCCTGTGCCCCCCAAGAAGGTACATGAAGCACAAGCGAGACGACGGGCCCGAGAAGCAGGAGGACGAGGCTGTGGACGTGACGCCCGTCATGATCTGCGTCTTCGTGGTCATGTGCTGCTCCATGCTCGTGCTGCTCTACTACTTCTACGACCAGCTCGGTGCGCCCCCCGCTTGCCCAGAGGGAAGCTGAGGTCCTACCTCCGCTTGTGGGGTTCCACTTGAGCTCAGCTGCCTGATGGTGGGGTGCATGCGGGCCGCCATCGCCAGCCTGGAGGAGGGCACCTCTGCGTGGGGAACTACCCTCCTGCTGCCAGGCGCTGGCCACCCGCCAGGGGGCACGAACGCTTGGAGCCCTTCTTCGGGCAGGGACGGGGGTGGGGTGGGGAGGGGGACCCGGCGACCCCCGGCCCTCAACGCCTGCCCCGCCCTGCAGTCTATGTGATCATAGGGATCTTCTGCCTGTCCTCCTCCACGGGCCTCTACAGCTGCCTGTCTCCACTGGTCCAGAGGCTGCCGTTCGGCAGATGCAGGTAAGCCCCCTGCGGGCGGCCCCTGCCCCGCCCTGCACCCCCAGTGCTGCTCACTGAGCCCCGCCCCCCGCTGCCTTTCCTCAGCCTGTCCCAGGTGGTCTCCTGGCCCCCGAAGCCCTCGGCTCTGCTGACAGTGCCGAGGACCCCGGCCTGTCCCGTGGCCCCTGGCCAGTCTGGCGTGGGCGGGCCGCCCGTGCTCACTCGGTGTGGGCCGGGGCGGGCAGGTGGGTGGTGGTTCCCCAGCCTCCCTCTCTCCACATCCCTTCTGGGTCAGGCCCAGTGGTGACGCCGGGGTTGAAGTGGGGCAACGGGGATGCGTGTGGGTCCCAGGCGGGGCAGGGCCACATGGCCGGACGTGCTGCTGGCCTGGGCCCGGGCGCTCTTGGCTGCCGGGGGCCTGGGCTGGTTCTGTCAGGGCCAGTGGCTGAAAGGTTTGGACAAGGTCGGGTCAGGTGGGTGCTCAGGGAGCTTAGCCTGTGGGGCAAGACCACTTAGGGCTGCTGGCCCAGGGCCAGGGGCTCTGTGGGCAGGGCAGGCCTGGCACTGGCTCGGGTCTGCCCACCTCCACGCGCCTACCTGCTCCGTCTGCCCTGCATCTAGGGGCCTCCCTCCTAGAAATCTCCTAACAGATGAGGGTGGAGTTCAACAGGGAACGTGGGGTGGGGGGCCCGGGGTTTGGGGGAGGGGTGGAGGTGACCCCCTGATGGCTGCACCCCAACCCCCGCCCCCAGGGTCCCCGACAACAGCCTGCCCTACTTCCACAAGCGGCCTCGGGTCAGCTTGCTGCTCCTGGCGCTGCTCTGCCTGGCTGTCAGCGTGGTGTGGGGCGTCTTCCGGAACGAGGACCAGTGAGTGCCCCCCCCCCCCCGCAGGCTGTCCTCAGACGCTCCCTGTGCTCACCCCCCTGCAGCCGGGCGCCACCCGCGGCCCGTGTCACTGGGCCTGTCAGCCGCCACGTGAACCGTGATTGGAATGTGGATACGGGCTCCTGCAAGGCCGCCTGGCCCCGGGCGCCCCGAGCGAGCGCGTGTCCTCGGGGGTGCCCGCTGGCGCGGGGAGGCCCTGGCTGCCCGGCCGCCGGCTCCTGACACCGTCTGGCGCTCCCTCTGAGCCTTTTCTGAGGCAGTTAGCCGCTCTTGGCTGCGGTGCCGTTTGGAGCCACGACAGATTTAATTGGGCAGAAGGAAAACGTGAAAATATTTTGAGTCCTTTGTACACAAAGAGAACACGAGCTCTCACAGTTAGATTCCAGCCACAAGACTCGCTCTGTTCTTTAAAATTAGAACAGGCCCGGTTCCCTCTGCGTCGGGGCCCCACTGGCCTCCTGCGAACCTTCTCTTTGTTCTTCGAGGCCGTCGTGGCCAGGAGAGGTTTTCATCCTGGTTTGAGGAGTACCCTGGGCCACAGCCTCCTTCCTGCCCCAGTGCGGGCGGCCTGGCGCCCAGGCCGGGTGGGCTGCGGGGGGCGGGGCTCCCTGCAGCTGTTGGGGTGACAGTCGTGCCCCTTTCCTGCTTTCCGGTCCCTGAGCCACCATTTCTGGGGCCCAGAGACTTGGTGTGGGACCTGGCTGTGAGCGTTTGGCTTTGCTAAATCACGTAAAAAATAGTCTTGAAGCAAACGGTGAGTCCAGTAGCTGCACAATGTCCCTGCCCTGTCCCCCTGCCCCATCCTGTGAGGTGGGGGTGACCCCCGTGCCTGTCCCCCCTGTCCTGTGAGGTGGGGGCGATCTCCCTGCCCTGTCCCCCCGCCCTGTGAGGTGGGGGTGATCTCCCTGCCCTGTCCCCCTGCCCTGTTCTGTGAGGTGGGGGTGAATGCCACCACCCGAGAGCCCTAGAGTGTGTGTGCCCGTTCCTGCCACACTGCCCCCCCACCTGGTCCCGTGCTTGTGCGCCTTCACAGCATGATGGGGTCAGGCTGGGCACGGACAGCTTGCAAAAGTTGAAAGCCAAGGTGGCCGAGGAGGGAGCGACCCACTGAGTCATAGCTCTTGGTGGAGCCCCTGCCCCGCTGGGTGACTGCCACTCTGCTCCCCAGGTGGGCCTGGGTCCTTCAGGACGCGCTGGGCGTCGCCTTCTGCCTCTACATGCTGAAAACCATCCGCCTCCCCACTTTCAAGGTGCGGGTCCCGAGGAGGTGGAGCCGCTGGCTGGGAGGGGGCTCCCGTGTCTGCGCGGAGTGTCCCTGGTCCCCTGTGGGCGGCGTGGTCTTTGTGCCTTTGTCCATCCCGCCACCTCCCTGGTGTCAGGGTTTAAGCATCAGTCGCAGAATCGCCTCCCAATGTGGCGGCCACGCCAACGACCCCCCTGGCGGTGAGGATGCCTGGACGGGGCCCTTCCCTGTGGCAGCCGCTGTGCCAGGTTCACTTCCTGCGGGTGAGAGGTGCACACACGGGCAAACGGGTCAGGCAGCACCGGCCCAGGAAGCGCATGGGAAGGTGTGAAGAGGGTCGTCACCTCCCCAAACCCACGGCTCCTGCCGCAGAGCGCGTGTGGCCAGAGCCGCCTGCCCTCTGGCTTTGCCATCACCAGAACCGGGGTCTGACCGCCCTGCCGTCCTGGTCTCTCGCGGCCCCAGGGGGCAGGACTGGAGCTGCTCAGAGTCCCCCCCACATGCTTTGTCCCAGTGGGCACGGCTGAGCCTTGTGGGGGAAGGTGGGGGTCTGTGCTCCTGGGACCGCGGAGCGCGGCCCCTCACGCCCTCCTCTCCCCAGGCCTGCACGCTGCTGCTGCTGGTGCTCTTTGTCTACGACGTCTTCTTTGTGTTCATCACGCCCTTCCTGACCAAGGTGGGCGTCCTCGCCCCACCCCGCCCCTGCACCCGTCCCCGTGCCCCCTCTCTGATGTGTCCCCTCCCTTTGTTAGAGCGGGAACAGCATCATGGTGGAGGTGGCCACCGGGCCCTCAGACTCGGCCACCCATGAGAAGGTACACAGGGGCCTGTGGCTGGGGTGCTGATGGAGAAGTGCGGGCCGTGGGCGCCTCCTGCAGGTCACCCCCTGCGCCCCCCTGCCCCCCCCCCCAGCTCCCCATGGTCCTGAAGGTGCCCAGACTGAACGCCTCCCCGCTGGCCCTGTGTGATCGGCCCTTCTCCCTCCTGGGCTTTGGGGACATCCTGGTGCCAGGTACTGGGGCGTGGGGTGGGCGGCCTTGGGGGCGTCCAGCGGGCGGAGCCCGAGGCGAGCAGGTGGGGCTTGCCCCCTGGGTGGCCGGCTGGCCGCAGCCCCCTCTGAAAGCGGATGGGCCGACACACGCGACGCGCCGGGCCGCGCGCCTTCTCCCCGCAGGGCTGCTCGTGGCCTACTGCCACAGGTTCGACATCCAGGTGCAGTCGTCCCGGGTCTACTTTGTGGCCTGCACCGTGGGTAAGCACCCGCCTTGCATCCGCCCTCCTCCCGTTGTGTCCGTGTCCCCCGCCTGCTGCGCTGCTGACCGAAGCCACTGGCACAGAACTGACCTGTCCTGTGGAGCCCGACGGCTTCTCAAGTTTTCCAGACCGGCGGGACCGCGCACCTCCGGTCGGCGCTTCCGGGGGGCAGCGAGCCGCCCGATGGCGCCTGTCGGCGCGCACGCGTGTCCCCCGTGGGGGAGCCGGGCTGGGGGAGGGGCTGCCCGACGATTCCCCCCCTCCCGTCGGGGGCAGAGGTCCGCGTGCACGGGCCCTGGCGGCCCACCCGGCGGAGGGGAGGCCCCGTTGATGCCCCTGGCGGCGCCAGGACGAGCCGGTGGCCTTCCGGGCGTACTTCGGGGTCGTGTGGCTCTTCCCACCCCGGCTCCTGCAGCTGCGGTCACGCGCCCTGGTCCCCCCTGCCGACCCCGAGCCCGCCCTCGGGCTTCACAGGGTGCCGCTGCAGGGGTTCGGGGCCGCCGCGCCCGGTTGTGGGTGCGGTTCCTTGCGGAGCCCGCGGACCTGTCGCCTCCGCAGTTGGCTCCCGTCGCACGCGGGTAAGTGACGCACAGCTCTCCCCGGGAGGTGAGGCCAGCGCGGAGGAGGCAGCTCCGGCCCAGCTGCCCGCCGAGACGCGTGCGGATTCACGGCCGCGGGACTAGCGCGGGGCGCCTGCACGCCCGCCCTCGGGCTCGGGCTCGGGCTCAGCGGCCTGCGCGCGCGCGCGCGTGCGTGCGCGTGCTTCCACGCTGGCGCTCGTACGGAAGCGGCGTGCGGCACTCGCTCGGGCCTTCGCCCCGGGGGCTCCGCCGGGTGTCTCGCGGCGACGGAAGCGCCTTTGCGAACGACCGCCGCTCAGTCGCTGCCGGACGTCAGTCCCCTCCAGGATCCCGTCCTCCCTGCAGGCTGAGCGGCGGGGGCGGGGGCGCGGGCTCGCTGCCCCTGCGGGACCCCCTCCCCCCCCACCCCCGCTCCGGGGCCGCCGCCGGTCACGCGCTGCCCGTCTCTCCCCGCAGCCTACGGCCTCGGCCTCCTGGTGACGTTCATGGCGCTGGCCCTGATGCAGCGCGGCCAGCCCGCCCTCCTCTACCTGGTGCCCTGCACGCTGGTGATCAGCTGCGCCCTGGCGCTCTGGCGCAGGGAGCTGGGCATGTTCTGGACGGGCAGCGGCTTTGCGGTGAATACCAGTTTGCTATGACTGTCTGCGAGAAATAATAACCCAATAAGCCCTAACTAGAGTTAAAGTTGAGTAAAACCTAGTTTCACGACTAAACCCCGTGGCCTCTGTCCCCGCTCCCAGAAGGTTCTGTTCGGTGTCGTGTCCGTGCGGCTCTGAAGGGTCTGAGCTATCCCAGCAGAGGGGACGCTGGGTGCGGCTTGAGGGTGGTGCCAACAGCCCGTTACTAAAGGTGCCAGGCCTAAGGGGCCGTAACACCTCATTTAACGGGACACTGGCTTCCGGCTGCTGCTGCCACTGGGAACACAATGCCGAGCTTGGGGGCCAGCGGGGTCCTCTGCCAGGGTGGGAGCCGAGGGCCCAGGGTGGGGAAGGAGCAGGGGACCCCGGGGCCAGCTGCGCAAGCCCACGCGGGGGAACCACAGCGCGGTCGCCTGCATGGAGCGGATCACGGCCGTTGGCTTGCTGTCACTGGATTTTGACACTAGAGGGATGGGCGCCCCTCTCCATGCAGCACAGCACATTCGATGGAAAGGGAGGAGGGTGCCTGTTTCCGTGGCTCAGGGACCGAGCTGACCCCCTGTGGGTGTGGAAAGGCTGTGGCTGCCTCCTGCTGCCCTGTCAGTAAATCACCAAGGCGGCAGCTCAGGGACCGGCTTCGTCACTAACAGGAGCTCCTGAGTGTGACATGCGTCCCTCCCGAGGGTGCTGGTGGAGTGTGGTGTTCCCGTGCCACGTTCTGGGGAAGTTGAAACCTGCACCCTCTCCGTCCTGGCCTAGAGGCGCTGAACGGAACAGGGCCCCGGGTTAACCTGGTTGATGAACCAGATAATGTAACCGATGATGGGGCCTTGGGCAACGCTCTGAGCCTCATTGCCCACCATCCTCAAAGGCTCTCAGTCCCGAGGAGTGCTGGCTTTGCTACAGAGCAAAGGTCTGGAAGGTTCAGGAGCTGGGGAACTAGCCAGAGATGTCAGAACATCCAAGGTTTCTGCCTTGGGTTGCCGGCCTGTGGCCCTGCCTTCTGGCTGTTGGTACCTGGCCCCAAGGGAAGGTGACTCCGGGGCCTGGAGCTGGACCCTCTGGGGGTGGTGACTCATCTGCCCTCCCCCGTCCACCACCCCTGAAGCTTTCCCAGATCAGTTCACGTCTGACTGCAGCCTCTTCTCTTACAGAAGGACCTACCTCAGTCTCCGTGGACAGCGGCTTCAGCCGACGGTCCCCATCCCCAGCCGGACTCAGACACTGGCCTCTCCCAGCCGCCTCCAGGCGAGGGACTGGCCAAGTGCCCCCTCCCCACGGAGCAGCCCCCAGTATTGTCTGTGCCCGAGGAGACGGGGGCCGGGGCACCCACCCAGGACCCTGCGAGCCCAGCCAGCTGCACCCCTGAACCCACAGGCCTGGTAGGCACCTCGGCCTAGAAGGTGGCGCAGACTCTCCGGCCCTCGCTGCAGCCCCTGTGCGCCGAGAGACCCCGAGACTGGACATGCCCGGCCCCCTCAACTTGGTGCTCTGGTCTGGCCGATGCCCCCGCTCTTCCTCCTCCTCGAGCAGAGCCCAGCCGCGCCCCGGACCCTCTCCAGCTCCTGCTCCCAGCTCGAGTGGCTGCTGTGAGCGCCCCCCCCGCCCCCGACCAACGAGGTCACCCTTGTGCGAGCGCCCAGCTCCTTGGTCTTGCCTGGCAACTCGGTGGTTCCTCGGAAAGGGCAGGAAGCGCCGCCCCCCCGCCGCCCACGGTTGCAGATCCGCCCACATCTGGTGCTTACCTTGCCGCCACTTCCCTCAGGTTCTCTCCCACCACTCCTGCGCCGGGGGACCCGGGTCCTGGCCTCCCCGGGGACGCTGGCCAGCAGAGCCCAGTCCAGCACCCGGGCCCTGGATATCTGGACTCAGGACGCGGGCCCAGCTGGCCGGTTCGGACCTGCCTGCGGGTCGGCTCGGACCGAAAGCGGTGCCCAGTGTGAACGCAGGGGCCGCCCCGTCAGCCCCGCCTGGCGCTTCCTGCGGCCCGGCTGCCCGGGCCTGCGCTCCAGCTTCTCCGCCTGTTAATAAACGGCCACGACTTGTTGAGCTCGGGTAGTGTCACCGCTTGGGTGTGGGTCTCTCAGACCACCCTCGTCGGGGCAGGTGGGTGCCAGGCTGCACCCTCCACAGTGGCTGTGTCTGTCATGCGGGCTCCGTTTTGTTTTTCAGCTTAGAGGGACTGAGGGGGCGAGCACTCTCCCCTCGGCATCTGCAAGTTCTCAACCCCGGCCTGGCCTCTAGCGACACCACCGGCCAGGCAGGCGCACTTTTTATTTAAACCGCCCAGGAGCTTCTGGAACGTGGAGAATATTCTGGAACTGGCATTTTGTCTTCTACCTCACCGACAGGGTTCTCCGAACGTCGTTGACAGAAATGCCGCGGTGCGGCGGCCCCCTTGCCATGGCTCGTGCCCGTCCACACAGCCTGCAGACTCAAGTTCAGAAAAGGCGCAGACCCCCCAGCTCTGTCCCGAGCATCCGCTGCTCAGCGGTGGACAGCAGGCGTGGGGCCAGCCATGATCCACGCCAACAATACCAGCGCCAGGCAGACTCTCGGTCCGTCGGCCATGCTTCTCGAGGAGAAACGTTTATTCCAGAAACAACCAGACGTCTTCCACCTGTTTTTGTGTGTCTCTTAAAGAAACAGGTGACCTGGGAGGGAGACCAGCTGGACCTGCCGGCCCCAGAGAGCCCCCGACTCCGGGGCCAGAGCGGGGTGCAGCCCTGGGCGGCCAGGTGTCGGGCCTGAGTGGCCCCCCTTGCACATCAGCCCATACCTTACTCTAAGCCATTTTGTATATCAGTGTAACAGCCAGAATCTCTCTCCATCCTCTGTGTTTGACAAACATCAAGGAATTCAAGGCGGCTGTTAGTTCTTGAAGTTTCCATTTGCAGTTTTTGCCTTGTTTCTGTTTGAATCTTAACCGCAGCTTTTTTAAAAAAAAATTATTTTTAAAGGAGAGAAAGACAGAGTGTGAGCAGGAGAGGGGCAGAGAGAGAGGGGGAGAGAATCCGAAGCAGCTCCAGGCTCTGAGCTGTCAGCACGAGCCCGACATGGAGCTCAAACCCACGAACTGTGAGATCATGGCCTGAGCCAGAGTCAGGTGCTCAATCAACTGAGCCCCCCAGGCGCCCCAACACAGCTTTTGATAGTTGCTGCCTGGCCCTCGTCTTTTCCGTGGCGTGGCAGCTGGCAGAACCCAGCCTGGCGGCGCAGGGCGGGAGTGGCCTGGTCCGAGAGGATGGCTGCACCGGGCTGGGGGAGCGCCGTCCACACCGCCCAGCGAAGCTGGGCGGGGCCGGTGTCCTGTTTCCTGGCGTGGGAGAGTTGAAGGAAGCCCAGCCAGCGCTCAGTCCGCCCCGTGTTTTGGGTGCCGTCCGCTTGTCGGTGGTCATCTAAGCAGCATGCTGTGGAGCTGGGGGTGGCAGCCTGTGGACTTTGTGAAGAGCCAGCCGGCCAGTGTTTGGGGTCCTCCAGGCCTCCCGCTCCCTGCAACAACTCAGCCCTGCTGCTATAGCCGAACGGTCACAGCACGTGGCAGACAGGCATGACTGTGGCCAGAGCGCTGATGGACACGGAGATGTGCCTTCCAAGTGGTGTTCACAGGTCACAAAATCGCCTTCTTTTGGTATTTTTCAACCAGTCAACACAGTGAAGCCCTTTCTTCGCCAGCATCTTCCTGGGGTGGCGGGCCCACCCCGCCCCCTCGGGGTCGGTGCCACAGACGTCTGCTCTCCTGCAGAGAGAAGGCGAGTCGCCCAAGGCTGTTCCTCTTGGCCTGGCCCGGACCCAGCAGAGATGTGTCAGCTCCTCCAAGACAGTCCAACACCGGGTGCTCGCGGTCTCTGCCAGGCCGCAGGAGCCAGGGCCCCCCCCCCCCCCCATGGTGGGCCGTGCCTTTGTGAGGGCTGGCGTGTGGGCTAGTTGGCTCGGGGCCGTGAGGACTGCCGTGTGGTTCTTTCACGGAAGTCCCAGCGCTTCCTTGGTTTTCATGAGTCATTCATTCCATCAGCCTTCATTGAGCGCCTGCTGTGTGCCAGGCCCTCAATTCCCCCAGGGGACCCACCTGTGAGGCTCAGACCCCACTCTGCCCCAGGTGGCTGAGCCTGGGGAGGAGGGACAGCACATGGGTCCACACCTGCCTCTGTCTTCGGAGGCAGGTGTCCAGGAAGGGAGACCAGCATGGCTGCTGGGAGGGCCAGGAGCCAGGCAGGGGTCTCTGGCCCCATGGGGAAGGCACGGCCAGTGTCACCAGAAGGTTAGGGGGCAAGAGTCCTAGAAAGAGCCCAGCGGCTCCTGTCCTGGTGAGGGGAGAGCGGGAGGCCGCTCCCCACACAGCTGTCGTAGCTCAAGGCCAGGTGCAGCTGTGAGAAGAGCCCAGGTCTGGAGTCCTGGCTTACGTGCTGGAGCCGAGCGACCTGGGTCACATCACCACCCTCCCTCTGGGGCTGTAGTTGCCGCTTCTGCCCGTGGGTGTGACAGCTGCTTCTTTAGGACCTCCCTGCACGTGCTCAGAAAATGGGACCGTACTGCAGGCAGCCAGGGCCCGGAGGGATTGTCCTCCCTCTAGCACCATGCTTGGCTCCCCATGGCTTATAGCATTTCCCACAAAAGTCACCACTGAGGGCATGAAGACGTTGCCACCAATGGTAGTAAGACAGCTGGTCCCTGGAGACCGTTCAGAAAATGTCCCCAGAGCGTCCTGAGCAGAGACGATGGTTCTTACAAAGGGTGTTCCCTGGGCTGGTGCGGGAGGGGTAAGCAGGTGGCGAAGGCCAGGGTCCCAGCGTGGCTGCGGCAGGTGTGTCAAAGCTGAGGCCAAGCCCCTGTCCCAGCCTGGCCCTGAGCGACGCCGACCCTCCTCCTGACTGGCCCTTTCCCGACTGACGCCCACGGCATCAGGAACAAGGGGCCTGAGAAACTGCCTCGGCCTGGGGGGCCCGGGCTAGCACGAGCCCCTTAGGGAAAACCGGAATCTGAATAAAGTGCGGATGTTCGCTACTAATAATGTGTCACTGTTGGTTCATTTATTGTGACCACATGTCACTAACGGAGGAAACGGCGTAGAGTACATGGTGCTCTCCACAGCTTTTCCATAAACCTAAAACTAATGAAACCAAGTTGATTTTTTAAACTACAGTAGTTACTCACACAGACCTCCCCACCCCGGCCTGGCCCGGCCCCAGACTCACCTGCTCCCTTCACCTGAGCCGGAGGGGGAGGAGGGAGGCCGCACCCGCCTCGCAGCCCGGGTGCCCCAAGCCCCGCCCCGGCTCCCTGGTGCTGGCGACTCTGCTGGGCTGGCGCTGCGGGGGTGGTTGTGGCTCGGCGGCGTCTGTGCTCATCGGTGGGTGAGTCTGGGTCTCCGGAAGGGCTGGGGCGGCCCCTCTGTGTAGTGGCTCCCGGGGCGGCGACAGAGCCAGCTGGAAAGGCAGCGGGATGCCCCAGGTGGCGGGGATGAGGCCAGTCAGCCAGGAGCAGTTTCCCGCCCTCTGTCCCCGTTAAGCTGGAGCCTGGGCAGGAGGGGAGTGCGGGAGGGACCGGGGACAGAGGCGGTGACGGCTGCTGGGTGCCCGGCCCTCCGGTCAGCATCTGAGTTCCCTGGAAGTGACAAGGTACTCGGGCCACCTTGGGAAGGGTGTGATCCGAAGGCCTGACGTGGGAGGAGGGGTCTCACGGGTCTGGTTCTGTGTGGCAGGAGAGCTTCCCTGGCACCAGGGGCAGGTGGTCACCGGAGTTCTGCAGTCTGGTCAGAGGTGCACTTTGTTCCTGAAGTGGCCACATCTCAGGGTTCACAGGCTCCCTGGACCCCCCGGGAAGGCGTGGGCTTTGGGGGTCCATGTGTTCACGTCAAACACAAGCCTCGTTTGCGGAGGGAGAGCCTCTGGGAGCCTGCAGGGGAGTGGACTCGGGTTCCGTGTGCAGCCGCGCAGGACGCTGCCCCTGTAGACCCGGAGCCCACGCCACCTGCCTGCGGGCCTGGGCAGGTGTGCACATCTGTCACTGTGCCACCACGTGTGTGGTTGTGTGGCTGTATGGTCATGTGTGACCACGCGTGGTTGCATCCCTGGGTGTTTGCGGGTCAGCTGCGTGTGGCTGTGTCTGTGCCACTCAGTGTGTGACACACACCACGCGTGTGAGCCTGTGTATGTCTGTGTCGTGTTTGTGATTGCACTGGGAGATGGTGTCTGATCTTGCATGTGGTTTGCGAGGCATCGTGTGTGTGAACTCCCTCCTGGTCTCCTGGTCCGGTGGACGGGGATGGTGACCACCGCAGCTCGCACGGATCCAAGAGCCAGTCCCCAGGAGACGCAGTGGCTCACGGCCCTCGCACACCACACAAGACGTCAGACATAGGCTCTGATCCGGCCGCAGTGCATGGATCAAGGCCAGTGGGGCCCGCAGCCTGTTTTGGCTTTGAGCCCCATCCTTGATGAGCGCGTGTGTGGTCCCAAGTTCATCCGTGTGCAGAACAAGCTTGCAGGGTCCGCAGACTGTGTGCTGGGCGGTCTTTTGCTAAGGCTGGGAACTCCTCTTCCCGCCATCACAGCTGTGGGGGGGGGTGGGCAGTCTGAAGCCCCGGAGGAACCCGGGAGGGACGGGGCGGAGGCAGGTGCTTCTCTGACCGCGGCCAGGTGAGCCCTGCCCGTCCTGCAGAACAGAGGCAGAGGAAGCAGATGCCTGTGTCTGGGCCTCGTGGTCGTCTGTGTGGTACACGCAGGGTGCGTGGAGAGGGTGGGGCGGCCGTGCGACTCTTACTGAGGGGTGGGGCTGGTGCACCGGGAGCCGAGAACCCCATCTCCGAGGCTCACCTGCCTTACCAGGACCGTGGGGCCCTGGGGCGGCAGCAGCCCACTTCGTGCTAGAGAAGCCACCAGCAAAGCGGGGGACAACGCTGGGGCCGTAGGAACTGTGTGCATGAGAAGGAGGAGGGGGAGGAAGGCTGGCAGAGGAGGGAAGCTCTCCAAGCTCAGTTTCGTCATCTACAAACTGGTGCAGGCATGACCTTTCTGCTCGTGGCTGCTCCTCTCCTGCCATAAGCACACCTTGTCCACGTGAGCGGAGCCGGGACGCGGCTCTTCCCAGCTATGCATTTTAACATTCATGGCTCTAAAATTAATGCAAAGGATAACATACTCTGGGCCGTTGGCTCACACCTGGGCAAGGCTTTGTTTCTCCTACTTTACCTCAGTAATTAAAATCAGTGATTTTGGGGGGCACCTGGGTGCCTCAGTTCCGCAGAGCGTTGCAGTTCGGGTCAGGTCATGATCTCACGGTTTGTGAGAGTGAGCCCCGTGTCGGCCTCTCTGCTGTCAGCGTGGAGCCTGGAGCCGCTTCAGACCCTCTGTCTGCCCTCTCTGCCCTTTGCCCGCTTGCACTCTCTCTCTCAAAAATTAATTAGAGGCGCCTGGGTGGCTCAGTAGGTTAAGTGTCTGACTCTTGATTTCAGCTCAGGTCATGATCTCACTTCAGGAGTTCTAGCCCTGTGCTGGGTTCACCGCAAGGTGTCGGGGAGCCTGCTTGGGATTCTCTCGCTCTCCCTCTCTCTGCCCCTCCCCTGCTCATGCAGTGTCTCTCTCTCTCTCAAAGTAAACATTTCACAATTTAAAAAAAAAATAAGATAAAATTTAAAAACAGTAAGAAAATAAAATCAATAATCCGGGGACAACTTTACCTGCAGAGAAGACAGTGGGTCCCCACACACCTTGCAGCAGCTTCGTCTCATGTAACCGCAGCGCAGAGACGCAGATCAGAAAATGCACACGGCACAGCGCTCTCCGCCGACCTTGCTCGCTCTCCCTAGCCGTCCCACGAATGTACTCTTTCTGTTCTGGGCTCCAGTCCGAGAGCCCCCTGGCATTTAGGACCTGTATTAATCTTACTTTTAAAATTTTTATTTATCTATTTAACCTATTTTTGTAATGTTTATTTTTG